GCAGAGCACAGAGGATTTTTAAGGCAGCGAAAATACCGTGTATGACACGACAATGATGGATACGTGCGATTACATATTTGAACGAACCCACAGATGGTCAACACCAAGAGTGAACCCTACGGTAAACTATGGACTTGGATGAGTATGACATGTCAGTGTGGATTCATCAATTGTAACAAGTGTACTACTCTGGTGAGAGCTGTTGATGATGTGTGAGGGTGCACATGTGTGGGGCAGGGGGCATATGGGAAATCTCTGTACCTTCCTTTCCATTGTGCTGTGAACCTAAAACTGCTCTAAGAGAAGAGTCTTTAAAAAATTGGTTGGCTAAGATTCTTTGAAGGTTTAGAAAATGCATCTGGTATCTTTGGAGGTGGGGAGATTTGGAGATTATAAACAAAGTGAATTCAAAGAGTACAACATTTAACTGGCTAACATAATCTTGGTATGAAAAGTAGACAAAGACAATACAAGGAAATAAAATTATATACCAAATTCACTTCTGAACATCAATGTAAAAATCCTAAATAAAATATTAGCAAATCCAGCCCTCTAGATACTGCAATGTCCCAACCCACATTCTTCATTCACTGCCTGTAGATTATCTCACTCATGATTCTCAGGTTAATATCTCTAGTTGCAACTCTTCTCTGAACTTTCAACTGATACCAGTGTCTACATATATAAAATATTACAAAATATTCAAGGCCATAGGAGAAGAAAACTTTCCTGAAATGAAGGAATATTTGAATCTGGAGATTAAAAAACTTAGCTACACTTTTTTATCCCTGTGTTTCACAACGGTCCGTTCTTTTTTTTTCCTGTTTCTAATTCTACTTTTATTTTTGTAATACTTTTCTCTTTCCCACCTGTTTTTTTCCTGAGATCTGCCAGATCATTTTTCATCTTCTTCTGTTACCATGTCCCTCCTTCTTTGACTGTTTATTATTTCTCTTTTTAGAGCTCTTTTTTTTCATTAAAACTATATATGATTTTTGTTTCTTTGCAGGGAGAAGTGTTGATCCAGAAATTTTCCTCTGCTTTCTTGCATCTTCTTGGGCATGAATTATTTATCATTATTTATCTGCTTTTTGTTTGTCATGCTTGTATCTTTATTCTTGTGGCACCTTTGTATAGATTTCGTACTATTTCCTTTCATGTTATTATTCATTTTTTAATGGAGGTGAATGCTTTCTTGGTCAGCCCTTTGTTGTAAGAGTTGAGCAGTGTTGGGACAAGGGATCAGGGGAATAAACTAGGTCAGACGGCGCTTGGGTTTGGGTGGATGGGTTCTAAATACGTTTTCACCAACACTCCCCCCAGGGGGAATGGGTTTGCTTCAGGTTAGCAGGAAGTCCTCCTGTTGCAGGTTGAAGCTCAATGCATTTCTTGCAATGACCAGTGGTTCTTGTCTTCACCTAATTGACATCATCAAATACAGGGCTGCTCGTTTGCTTTTATTCCCTGCCCTATCCCATGGAGAGCCTTGTTTTTGCAGAGATAGAGTGTGTGAGTTAACATCTTATGGGCAACCCATGGCCAATGAGGGCAGAAGCTGGTTGATAAATGCTGCTCTCTTCCATCCCAAAGCCACACCAGTCCTAAAGCACATTCCTTCTGCCTTGTTTCCTCTTCCTCAGTTCCCTTTACCTGTTCCATCTAAACCATCTGATACAAACTCTTTCTCTTGGGCTCCCCTTTTTAAGGTGGCAGCTCTTCTTGAGGAGTGTGGTTTGGAATTCGGGTTATTTTTTTCTTTTATCAAAGAAGTAGCTTTCTTTTCTGTCCTCTTTCTCCCCATTGTTACATTTGGTTTCAGAGAGGAGAACAGACACGCTGATGCCTCCATATTTTAATTATTATTTTTTTAAAAGCTTCCCCAGCTTGTATCTTATCTGAATTTTTCTATCTGCAAAGAGGAAGCAAATCAAGTCATACGCTTTCCAGGTCGCTATGCCTTAGACCAGCCTGCAATGTTTTCTTTTTCTCGAGTGATGTCTTGATGAAGTCCCTGAGCACATGAAAGCAACATTTGTAAGAAATTCAGGTCATTGCAAAACTCACTACATTTGGGAGGCATATATTCCTCTCTCTCTCTCTCTCTCTCTCTCTCTCTCTCTCTCACACACACACACACACACGCACGCACATACACACAGACACGTATACACACAAATTCAGAGTACATTAACACACCAGCAAACGAACGGGAAATGCAGTAACCCATTTGCATTTATAACCTCCCACTGAGTCTCACCCAAGGTCACAGCCATAGCCGTCCTGAATTGTTTTACCCTTTTAAACCAGGATTTGACTTTTCAAAACTTTTAATTATTTTCGCATAGGCATTCACAGGTGGTACAAAGGGCTTTTCTACAGTCCAAGGCAGACTCACCCCTGGTCCTACTCTGGCCGCTCTCTAGGAAGCAGCATCTCTACCCAGCAGCACCTTAGGCCTGGACCTGCCCTCACCACAGCATTGGTGCACCAACCTCCTGGCCTGGGTTCTAGCCCCTCCAAGGGTAGAAATCACCTTATAAACATCCACTGCCCTGGGGTGAAGGAGCCTTTGCCCCAGTGAGGAGGAAATGGCTTAGTTTGGAACTTCCCGGGGGAGGGGTGATGAGGGGCTCTTCACCTACCCAGTTTGGAAACCATTGTTCCCATGTGTCTAGAGCATAATGGATCCTAGGACATAAAGGGACAACTGTCCAGGACTTTTATTTTCCACTAAGGAGGCCTGTCTCTGTGGGCAGTGGTTGCTCCTGTCTCCTGGTGCAGGAACTATTTGTGGGGGATGAGTGACACTCGCCCAAGTCCAGAAAACTCTTGGAAGAGCTGGTTTTCCATCCATATCCCACATCCCATATGGCGGGCAGCCGTATGCCTGCCCCTGGGAGACAGAGTGGATAATGAAGTGCTGCTAGGACCTTCCTGAAGCCCCATCAGACCCTCCCTGCACGAATGGCAAGGCCTTTGTCAATGCCCAGAGTTTGTGCCCTGTGTGGGGATATTTTCCTTATGTCTCCAGCACACCTGAGAGTCTCTGGAGGAGCCAGGAGTACGTATTTAGGTGTCCCTGCCTCTGTGGGGTGAAATCTATGCCATACCACTCGGGGTGGGGGGAAGGGGAGCATAGTGGTTAGGGGTACGACTCTGTGTTGGACCACCAGGGTTAGGATCCTGACCACTTACTTCCTGCACGATGGGTAAATTACTCTTCTCTGTGCCTGCTTCCTCTTCAGTAAAATGAGGATCATCATAATAATACCACCTCATAGGGTTGTTGTGAATGTTGTTGAGACAATCTATGCCTAAAGCACAGGGACTGGCATATAGTAAGTGCTCATGAAACACTAGTTGTTTTTGTTGTTGTTATCATATGATTATCTAAGCCCAGAGTTATGGTTTGCGTGTGTGTGTGATTGAGAGAAACTGATTGATTATGATGCAACTCAAAATGGGAGCCAAGGCAGCACTTCAAGGTGCCTTGTCGAGACAGGACAGAGGCCAGGGGACTTTGGGTAGAGAAACAAGGCTGGAGATGTCACAAAATGCTGGAGGAGCAGAAAGGTGCACACCCAGACCTGTTTGTAGCTCAAAGCTTCAGCACCACCGCCAACCCGTTTGTATGGTTGGTAAGGGAAATAGTCTTCATTTTTACTGCCGTCTCCACTACCTGCTCTATACGCTTGGGTTTACAGTCCCAGAGCTGTGTGTGTGTTTGCACATGTGCATCCACATCCACAGCCCCATCAAACCTCAGACAGAGACTGCCCCCAAGGAGGCTGGGCAGACAGGGAGAGGACAACAATAATGGTGGAGAGGAAGCAAGGTAAACTTGGATTTTGGTTTTGAGACAGTTGTAAACTGGAAGCATCATAAATCTCATCTATCCCCATACCTCTCCTGCAGGAGCCGGAGTGGGTTGAGGGATTGGTCTCCGCCTGCTGACGGGGGTGGCTCCTCGGCATCTCAGATGGCAAAGGGGTGGCCACTTGCTGGATTTCAAGCAGGGGACTTTCCTGGGGAGGGCGGGGAGGGGACTGAGAAAGGAAACATGCCATGGTGGAGGAAGTTGAGTCTGTGAAGCAGCATTTGAGTCTGAAGTACGGGTACCGAGTATTGGTCTCCACCTTGATCGTCCACATTTACCCTTATTCAGGGCATCTGTCCCTGTCCTGTCTGTAAGGTGCCACCCTCCTGGGTTTCTGGGTGCAGGTCTTTGTGCAGAGGCCAGTACTGGGTGTCCTAGATAAGTTTCCACCAAAATGTGGCCTCTCCCTGCTGGCTGACGCCCAACACTGTTGCCCCTGGGCTTCTCCCTGGATTATTCTCCAACTCCCACCTTCCCCTGATTGTTCCCACTTATTCATCAAGTCTCAGACAAATGGCATTTCTTCAGCAAAGCCTCCCTTACCCCAGGACACTCGTGCTCCTCTGCCGTAAGCTCTCTGAGCGCCCTGAATTCTCTTTCAGGCAAACGGGACCTGCTTCCTCCTGGGTCATCTAACTCTCTCTTCTCGTTGCTCAGCCTATCCCAGGCTGGGGTGGGAGCCCTCCTTTGTTCACCAGGGCACAGTGTATGTCCTTCCACTCTGGTTTCTTATTACACTGGGTTGTAATTGGCTGTCCATGTTCCCCACTAATCTATGAGCTCCTTGACAGCAGGAACTGCATCAGTCAGCTATGGCTGCAATAATGCTGCATAACGAACCATCCCCAAAGGTCAGTGCTTAACACAAGCTTGTTTTTCTCTTCCTTAGTTTTGCAGGTCAGCTGGCCTTGGCTGCAAGCCGTAGGTTGAATCCAGGTCTGCTCCACGCGTCTTGCATCCCTTTGAGACCAGTGGCTGCCTGGAGCATGCTCTTCTCATAGTGAATGGCAGGAGCTCAAGAGAAGCCCACCCATGCAGGCACTCTGCTCACATCACACCCATTCAAGTTCTGTTGGCCAAGGTAAGTGACATGGCCATGCCCCAAGTCAGGGAGGCAATGAGGTATCTTGCACCCAAGGTAGAGGGGGAGAGGGATGAGTACAAGCTACATGATAATCTAACTCCTCGCAAGGGCCATGGACTATGTGTCTTTAAAACCCCAGTATTTAGCATGGGACCTGCCACAGGTGGGTATTCAGTAAAGGCTGAATGAATGAACGGAGACGAGCAGAGGGTTGTGTTCTCTTTCCTAGGGATAACAGGGATGCGGGGCTCACAGATTCCCCTCACGGAAAGATGGTATCACACGGAAGTAAGTGCTCGGTCTGGAGACTTAATTTCCTCTCTTCCTCTTATTGACTGTAGCCTTGGCAGGTTACCTATTTGAGCCTCTTTTTTTTTTTTTTTTTTTCCCTATAAAGTGGGAATGATGATACCTGCTTTATCAGGTTATTGCAAAAATTAAATGAGATTATCTGTGTAAAACAGCACCATGCCTGGAGTTTCATAAACACTTGTAAATGCTAGCTGATATTATTACTGATACCAATATTATTATTACTGCTACCATCTTGTATTCTGTCCGTCAGGGAGAAAATGAACTGAGTTGCAGTCAATTAAATAGAAGAGGATCTGCTGATTTGGGCGTTAACACTTCCAACCTGACTCAGGTTTGACAAGAGCCTTGAGTATTTCCCATAATAACCTAGACCTAAGAATTGTGGGAAAGGGTTCTCCCTTATATACCTGAGAAAGGGTGACAGGCAAGAACCTAAATTTTCTCTCCCATGCCTGGGTGTGGAGGGATAGGGCAGAAAAGGAAGAGCTTATCTAAGGACATCATGGCATCCCTCTGTCTAACACCTCACGCTGTCCTGCAGGGAGCAAACGAATGCAGCTTTGGGGGCCATTCGGTTAGAGGCCAGCCGTAGAGTGGACACGGGGATAAGGTGAAATTCCTAATCGTGTCCCTGGTGCTCCAGGTGGGTGGGCAGGGTGATATTTCCGAGCCCCTGGCCAGATCTCATTTAAATGGTGGGGACACTCTGTACCTGTAGCAAATCCTGCTGGAAAGGCATGATCCAGGGCGGGTGGGGACCGTGGACCAGCAGGGAGCTTCCTGGTCAGCGTGGTGGAGTCAAGTGGGTCCTGGCAGGCAGGTGAGCAGGGCAGTCTGGGATGCTGCTCTTATCACCGCATCCTTGGAAGACTGTGTCCCTCAACCAAGTTGGTGTGACAGTTATGGAGAGAGGGTTAAGCTAGATGCACTGGGGTAGAGAAGGGGCCAGGTGGGGCCTTGGAGGTGATGAACAGGTGGCTTCCTTCTGCCACAGCCATTGCGCCATGGGAAGCAGGGCAAAGCAGGGAATGAACATGATCCCATGCCTGCCCCTTACCAGCTATGTGACAAGGGCCCATTGTTTCCTTTCCCTGGGCTCAAGGCCCTCATCTGTTTTCTGGAGAGGTTAGATTCCATCCTTTCACTCAACAGATATTAGTGGAGGATCCGTGACGAGCCAGGTGCTATTCTAAGGCCTTGGAGATCTACCTATGAAAAGGATAAAAGTTATCAATGAACATTAGATTTGGCCCTATATAACAGAAAGCCCAAAGAACAGCAGCTTAGGTCAAATAGGGGATTTGCTTATTTGTGTCACTTAAAGAAGTCTAAAGACCACAGATCAGAGCTGGCACAGTGGCCTCATAGTCACTAGGGACATGGGCTTCCTTCCCATGAATCCTTGAAAACATTTTAAATAGTTGTTTTAAAGATCTTGTCTAACTCTACCATCTCTATCTCTCTATGCCTGTTTCCACTGAATTTTTCCAAGACTTGGGTCACACTGTCCTGTTTCTTCATATATCTAGTAAGTTTCAGCTGGCTGCGGTACATTTTGAACTTTACATTGTTGAGTGCTGGATTTTGTTTAAAGGGTGTTGGACCTCTTTATGGCAGGCAGAGAAGTTACTTGCAGGGCAGGCCTTTTTTAAAGCTTTTTAATTTTCTTAGGATGGGTCATAAGTAGGTTTAATTCTAAGGTTAGTTTAGCTCCGCTACTAAGATGTGACTCACTTGGGGTATCCACTGAAAACCCGAGAATCTGAGACATCTCTATTCCAACTGATCAGAATTTGATCGTCTCTCAGCCCTGAGAACTGTTTTGCTTACAGCTCCCTGGTTTTTCTTTCCGTAGCTTCCTGGATCTTCATTCTATGTTTATTAATAATCAGCAACAGAGGCAGGGGATCCCTGTTAAGTAGCATCTCTCTGTCTAGTACTATGTCTCGAATTTCCAGCCCCTTCATCTTTTCTGAATGACAACTGCTGTCTCTTTAACTCAGAAAGAGCTGTGCTCTGCTTGGATTCCCTTCTCTGCAGAAAACACCTCCAGACAGAAAGCCAGGGTGATAAGAGGCTCATCTTGTTTGATCTTTTTCTCAGAGATGAGTGTTCCCTAATGTCTGAAAACTGCTGCCTTGTATATTTTATTCAGTTTTATAGTTCTCAACAGTGAGAAGATAAGCCTGGTCCCAGTTACTCCATCACGGCTAGAAATAGAACTTCCTAATATATTTTTAACACCCATATCAATTAACATTATTCTGGCTATACAGTTTAAAATTTTGAATTAAAAAATTAATCAAATACTGATCTACTGAACTATGACTCGTAAAAATTGCACACACAGGTACCTTCATGATGTGGTACTAGTCACCAAGGAAGATCGCAGTTTATGGATTAATCTGTTCCTAAGAATTCCACCTCATTAAAATGCACAATAGATTAAAATGTATTCACAAGAAGCACAAAATAAGATTGACTGTGCAAACAAGTGTGGTTTTAAATGCATTTAAAACAAGTCACACTTTCACAGGCATTTCAATAAGTCTGCTAGGGTCCCACAGGAGGTGAGAGAAGGGGGTACAAGCAAGTCAAGTTGGTGGCAGATGTGAGAATGGAGTCAAGAACTGTTAACTCATTTTCATAGATTGTCACCTAGGGGATTTGGAAAAAACGGATCCAGAAAATTCTGTATTAAATATTTCTTCACAGATTCTGTCAGGCCATAGCTTTATCTGTTCTGAGGGAGCTACCATGAATACAGCGTTCACAAAGGAAATCTGTTTACATATTCCTGGAAGGTTTGGAAAGTTTTTAGTTTTTGCTTTGTCTGGAAGTAAACAGACACTGTGTGTGTGTGTGTGTGTGTGTTTTAAATCTTTCAAAACCTCTTTTCTATTGAAGGCAAAATCACCTGTGAATTTTTCCTTCTCTGACATCCCAAACATCTCCTTAACATCATCTGGACTAACGACATCTCCACCCTCAACTCTCTATACGCTTCCCTTTACTACCATCTACAACTGGCCTCAGGGCCTTTGCATATGCCTGGAAAGCTCCTCCTCTCCTGCCCACCCCCACTTTGCTTGAATACCTTGTCATCTTTTTTTTTTTTTTCCTTGTCATCTTTTATGTTTCAACCTGACCTCCTCAGAGGCCTCCCAGGATCATCCAGTTTAATAACGCTATCCCTTTAATTCTTCCCTGCAATATCCTGTTCTTTTCCTTCAGAGAATGAATGCTCGTTTTTTCCTGGCCTGTTTGCCCTCAGATCCATCCCCCCTACCCTTCCCCTGGAGAACTCTGTACCTTTGGGGGACTGACTCCTGTGGACTATATTTCTCAGGCTTCCTTGCTTCCTGACATCTACAGAGGCTCAGCCTCTGGGAGGTACCGGTGGTTGTCAGAAAAGCAGGAGGAGGGGGCAAGGTCAGGTTGTCTCCCTTCTCTTTTGGCTTTGATTTCATCTGCACAAAGACTTAAGTTCCGCTGTGTCTTCCATTCATACTAGACATCCACTCGTTCCATGGTCCCAGTCCTCCTTGGGCAGCTCCTGTCTTGATTCTAGTTCCCCTCTCCCAAATGGCCCCAGGTGCTGGACTCTGATAACATCCCCTCCTCTCTTTGACCCTTCGCTGAATGGCTTCCTGCTGCTAATAATCTCTGGTTTCCTTCACTGTCCCAGACGTCTCAGCATCTCCATCACTCCTGTAAGTAACAAATCCCCTGCATTCGATCCTCTCTGACCTATATACTCAGTGATTTCTCTCTTCCTGGTACAGCATGTATCTCAAATTGTAGATATAAATGTATCAACTGCTGTGTCTTTTTTTTTTTAACATCTTTGCTGTGTCTTTTAATCTACTATCTGAATACCTCCCTCTCCCCTCCCACACACTCCATGAAAAAAGAATAATGTCTGTTTTCTTCATGACAGAATCTCTAACACCCAGCACAGTGCTTGGCCTTGGGTAGTTGCCCAATTAATATTTGTAGAATAAATGCTTGAAAGGGAAGGTGGCAGTGATGAGATCAAATTTACCATCAATCAGGTGACGTGAGTCTTTTCTTAAGTTCTATAGATTGTTGAGAGCAAATCTCAGTGAGCCATCCTTCACGGTTATGCAAAGAAAAAGTCTTACTGTGGGGAGACCAGAATGATGAGCCTTGATGCTATTATTGTTTTCTCTTTCTCTGTTCTTTCAAATTCCACTTTAGTGGAGAGAAAACTTTCTCATTTCCCATTTCAGCTCACTGAATTATTCATCAAAAATGTTCCACTGGTAGTTCCTCCTCTGTTGGAGTTTTGCAGTTCCAGAAACACTCTGCCCTGGAGTTGCAATCAGAGCAATTAGCAGCCCCTTCTGGGAGCCAGCTGGCCCGTACCCTCAGCTTCCCAACCTGGGCTGTGTGGATGGAGAGCCAGCCCTGCCTGGAGTCTGAGTTTTCTGCAGGGGCCAACCTGAGCTGGAAACCCCACTGAACCCCTGCAGACTCCCCCTCCTCCTTTGCTGGGACCAGCAGATCAAGCAACCATCCCCCCCGCAAGAGCTCAGGAGTTCTGCTAACGCCTCCCCTTGTCTGACTAGCTGATTCCTTTGTGCCTCAGTTTCTTTGGCCAGTGGGAAGGACAGCCCTTGCCTGCTCGCCTTGCAGTGTCGGTGGTGGGGTATGGGGCCCACCTTGGTCCTGAGCAATGTCCGCTACCGGGATTCCAATGGACTCTGTCAACTGAGAGAAGGTTCCTGCAGAAGTCAATTTGCCTGGAAGGATGATTTCTCTCCAATAGGCATTGCTGTTTCGTTATAAGTGTATTCCTGTTACACGACCTCCATCTCTGGTGTCTCTCATCTGCACAGACCCATCCTTGTGGGTTTGCATCTGTGTCCTGGTCAGAGCAGCGAGAAGATGAAATAGTCACACAACAGCGCTTTGCACAAAATAGGCGATAGCATACTTCCCACCATCATAGACCTCTCTGGGCTTTTTGTCACTTTGGGGGTCCTGTGTGGTACTGTCAGCAGGAGGACTTCTCAGCAAGAGGACACCTGGGGCGCCAGCATGAAGCTATGACTCTGTGATGCTGGGCCCCCCAACGCTTCTCCTTTGCCGCAAACCTGCAAACCACTTTTCTCCGGCAAACCGCAATTTCTCCTTTGCCAGCATCCCTGATAGGCTCTGCCACCAGGGGGCACTCGAGAGACTGGAAGGCTGGAGGAGGAGGATGCTTATCCCTGCCTGCTTTCTGCTCCCGTGAGCAGTGCCTCACGAGGCTTCTTCTTCTCCCCGACCTCAGCAGCTCCTTCCCAAAGCAGCCACGAAATCCACACTGCAGTCTTTCCATCTTCCATCTTGCAGAACTAGCTGTGCTGCTCACTCCCAGGCCAGAAACACTGCACAAGCCGTCTGGCATCCCCTTCTCAGAGTCTGGGTCTCAGCCCCAGGGGCAGCCTCTGAGCACAGAGACGCCAGCGCCAGCTGGCTGCCTCCTCCACCCCTCCCCCCCCCCCCCCCCAAGATACCTGTCAGGTCCTCCCTCCAAGCTTCTAAGTGTTTTAAGAATTCCAGTATTTTGCCTTGGTGCCCACCCAGCCCGAGGGGGAGGGAGCTGTTCCCTGCAGTTGCTACCTCTGTAATACCTTAGAGTTCTCATTACCTTTTTTTTTTTTTGGCCGCACTGAGCAGCTTGGGGGATCTTAGTTCCCTGACCAGGGATCGAACCTGTGCCCCATGCAATGGAAGCGCAGAGTCCTAACCACTGGACCGCCAGGGAATTCCCTCCCTTCTTTTTTTCCTTTTTTTGCAGTACGTGGGCCTCTCACTGTTGTGGCCTCTCCCGTTGCAGAGCACAGGCTCCGGATGTGCAGGCTCAGCAGCCATGGCTCATGGGCCCAGCCGCTCCGCGGCATATGGGATCCTCCCGGACTGGGGCACGAACCCGCATCCCCTGCATCGGCAGGTGGACTCTCAACCACTGCGCCACCAGGGAAGTCCTAAGTCCTTCCCTCCCTTCTTAATGTCACAGTTAACAATTCTTCCATACAATGTTATATGTCAATTATAGCTCAATAAAACTGGAGAAAAATTAAAATTCCCATTAAAAACAAATCTTCATATTAAATTCTCTCTGTTCAAATACCTAGTGGTTCCTGCCTGCTCACAGGACCCTAACTGATCCAGAAATGGGCACCAGGAGCGGAGGCAGGGCTGGTGGACAGCGGGAGACCATGAAGGCCGGCCGAGCCCGTCGTGCACAGAGGATGCCAGTCAGGGTGGGAGAGCAGTTGCAGACCACCAGTCAGCTGTGGGTGGGCCACGACCAGGTACCATGGGAGCACCCACGTGCATGACTCTTCACGGAGTCTGGGTCTTGAAAGAGATCGTGAACCTGGGAGCCACGGGCTCAGAGGGCCGGGGACACTTGGCCAAAGGAGCTTCGTAGCCAGGAAGCCCTCCGCATCACAGTCGGAGTGAGTGGGAGAGCCGATGAAGGCGCCGTCTGCTGGCTGGCCTGCGGAGAGAGGAAGAGACGCTCTTTCTAAGAGGGCTCTGGTTGCACTTGTCTCCTCCACGACCCTCAACGAGTTGTGTCTGCTTCCAGTCCCAGGAGTTGGTAGGGCAGATGGTCTGGGCGGCCCCCTGTGGATCACCCTTAAGCTCATGACTCCTTCAAGGTCAAGCTTAGGTGCTGCTGCATCCATGGGGCTCCCATTATAACACCCGCCTCACCATCATCTCTCCTCTCGCCGCACTTATAGCGCTGATGGTCAGTACCACTCATGGGGCCTGCGGAAGAGGTTCTGGGGGAATAGACATCGTCTCTACCCTCAGTGGGGTGTCAGTGTGAAAAAAAAAAAAGAACCCAGTAGTAACTAGCTATCTACCTATCTGTTATCTACTTATCTATCACCTATCTACCTATCTGTCTGTCTATCTATCAATCTATCTAAAGTAATGGTTCCTAGTAAGTGTTGCATAAGTAATAATTGAGTGAGTGAATGGATGAATGGATGGACATCTCCCCTAAAACTGTGGGACAGGCAGTCTGGGGCAGGGCCATCTGTCGTTGCTTCCCTCTTGCGTTCTAGATGCCTAGTGATATATGACACACGATAGTCACTTATCCTTGGGTGAGTTTATGACTGAGGAAATGAGGAAAGGTATAGAGGAAGGAAAACTAGAACGCATAAATGATCCAGAGATGCAAATCCTAAACCACCGTGCCCGCCCTGCGCCCGCCTCCTGGTACTCGCGCCAGGTGTCGGCGCTTCGGCCCCGGAGATGACTCTCCTGCTTCAGCGCCGTGCACCCCGCTGGCCCTCTCTGGCCCGGCTTCACCGGGAGCTGTAACACCTGAGCAGCTCCGGGACCGAGGAGCTGGTCCAGAGCTCTCTCCCCAAATGAGGGGAACCTTGGACCAGGAAAGCCCCAGGGCTCCAGAAGTTCAGAAAACAGAGAAAAGCCCTGGATGGGGGGTCGTGAGGTTGATGGGGAACGCAGTTCACCTGGGGCCACTTTTACCAGGCCAGGACCTGAAGGTGGGGCTAATCTCCATAATCTCGCGCCATCACTGTGTATGATAACCACCTGTGGAGACAGGCCTTGATGATGAAAATGAAAGGGCTCCGCAGTGTTGGTGGCTCCACTCGGCAGACTCCAGGGAAGCAGACACCAAGCCCCAGGTTAGTGTGTGGGACCTTTAGTAGGAGTGTGACTGGGATGGGGATTGACACCTGCGGGGGGAGGGGGAGGACACAGGGCAGCGGGGGAAGGTGTCTGCTCTGGGCTCTGGAGTCGGGCTCCTGAGTTGGGGGGAATTGCATGTCTCTGGACCGCTCAGCCATTGGATGTGACGGCCCCGGGGAGCGGCGGGACCTTGGATGGGCAGCTTGCCGTACCGGAGGTGCCT